GCTGAACTCACACAATGCCTTTCTTTCCAGTGATCTTATCCATGTGGGACATGGCCCTGGCAAGGTAGGAGCAATATGGGGGATTGGTGGGTGGGTGGATTAAGATGCCCTCGAAGGTACAGGGTGTCTTGGTCTCTCTAGCACAAACCAAAATCAGAGAAATACCTGAACCAGCAGCCTCATCACTGTGCATTGCTGGAATGTGCGGTCATGAGGAAAGACCACTGCATATCCCAGGCTCCTGAGGATGTGGGCATGCATTCTAAAGCTGTGGCTGCCATCCTATCACACATCCTATCACATCATATCACCTACAGTGCTGGTACCTTAGGGCAGCAGCTGTGTGTGATAGGATCTCATCCAAGCTCTCACCTCTGGATCATGCAAAATAGACTCTGCCTATTGGGCATCTCAGACTGGCCTGAGGCTGCCTTCAGCCTACTGCCTGCTCAGCTCCGCATTATCATGCTGCCCAACACAGGAGCATCGCCATGGATGAGGTCTCCCTGACACCTAGTCTTCACTGTGCACAGACCCCACAGCATGTTGGGTCTCCCTGTAACCCAGCCCTCACTGTGCACAGACCCTACATCATGGTGGGGTCTCCCTATCTCCTGGCTCTTCAGTCTCCACTGACTTCAGGATCTTCTTTCCAACAGATAATTCCTCATGATCTGTTCATCTCAAGAACCTTAACCTTAGTGCAGCTGCAGAGACACCTTTTCAAAGTAATATCAAATTGCAGGTTCCTAGAATTAGGGCTTGGACATATATATTTTGGGGAGCACAATTCCACCTATGATACTCTATCCCTGCCAAATTTAGATTCATCCCACATATGAAATATATTTACTCCATCCCAACATCTCCAAAATTTTCAACTATTACACATCAGATCTTTGTCCAAAAATCTCACCTATATATCATCTGCTTTAATCTCTAAGTCCAATATGGGTGATAGTACAGTCCATCCTGGGGCAGAATTCCTCTCCAACTTTGACTGTGAAGTCAGAAAAATGAGCAATTTCTAGATATAGAGGTGGGTGCTCCTACTTCAAAGAGAAAAAATACGAAAATTAGGGCACCAGAGTTCCTGTTTCGTTCTGACATATGAGAATCTGGGAAATTGCACTCCATCCTAACAAGTTAAAAGCTGTACAAACTGAAAATCAACAACTCTTTGATCCTTTAGAGAAATGAGGGCATAGGGCAGGGGTGGGCAAACTTTTTGACTCGAGGGCCACAATGGGTTCTTAAACTGGACCGGAGGGCCGGAACAAAAGCATGGATGGAGTGTTTGTGTGAACTAATATAAATTCAAAGTAAACATCATTACATAAAAGGGTACGGTCTTTTTTTTTTATAGTTTTATTCATTTCAAACGGACCGGATCTAGCCCGCGGGCCGTAGTTTGCCCACGGCTGGTCTGAGATAAAAATAAATATATAAAAATAACCTTTTTTAATGAAGTAAACTAAAAATAAAACATACAATCTTTCTTGAGGATAGTTTAGCAATGTTTCATAAGCCTTAGAAATATCTAGACCTGTGACTTAATAATTCACTTTTTAGGAATTTTTCTTAAACAGATGAAAGTTTAATGCAAACATTTATATACAAAACTTTATACTCTCCTAGCTATCCAACATTAAGTGAATGCTTAATATCATAGTATATAAACATGTA